TATTATTATTATTATTATTATTATTATTATTATTATTATTATTATTATTATTATTATTATTATTATTATTATTACTACTACTAGTAGTAGAGAAGTTATTGAATGTCTGGGTTGCAATGCTATTACTAGTATAATCTTCAGTTATGCTAGTACCAACAGAAGTCATCGAAACTTGATTTGTGCTGCTGGTCTCTCCTCCACCTCCTACACGACCAAGATCTCGATGTTGTTCCAATAAATTATTGTTATTATTAGACTTGAAATTATCACCCTCACTTTCATATTCATCCTCATCAAGCTCCTCCTCTTCAACGGGAGGTTGCTCCATTGTTTCCAAAACTTTCGTGTTGTAGCCTCCACAATGCCCACATTTATGGTAGACAAAATGATATTTCGCATTACTTCGTTTCTCGCAGTCATTGCATAAAATTATCGAAATAAAATGTTCATATTCCGGAGGCATCTTTTGTGTTTGTAAAATCGCGTCTATTCGTTCAAAGTAGGTCTTCATGTTACCGAGCGATTTCCAGCATATTGGACATTGATAGGCATTACTGGAGTATTCTCGGAAACATGCTTCGTGCATTGTATGACCACATGGCTGATTAATAAATTAATTAGTTCAATGAGTTAAGGAGGAGAATTTCATATCCACGAAAAGCAGAAAGAAAAATAAATATTCACCAAATAAATAGATCTCAACACCGATGTGAACAAATATTCACCACAAATAGGACAATCACGCTCCAAATTTCTCTCTATACACTTATGTGACTTTTCCAATCGAAGCGGCAAACAGCAATTACACGTATCACAATGAAAGAAATCTTTACCCAGTCCAGTACCGACACGGCATAATCCACAACTAGCGCAATGATAAACGTTCTTTCGCGAATCGTCGTCCCAGAATTTACATATATCGCAATAGTATCTTGCTAGTGTGGTTTGGCATTTAGTGCATATTTGATTGGGCGTTTGGATATTTTGACAGTACATGCACATCATTTTTTTGGTGTCGTATCTTTTTTTATTATGATAACAATATAATTAGGTATAGTAATTTATTATTTAGGGATTAGAAATGATCTAACCATACAAAAAAAAGACAAGCTCATACCTAATAATTTGGTGATCAGAAACGCTATCATGGCAATATCTACAAGTGAACCATCTCCCACAACAATTAGCTTGTAATTTTGCTCCACGTTGATAATGCATGCATCCACGAACTTTATTTGATTCATCCTAAAATACATAATATCATAAGTATAAAATAAAAAGCACAGCACGACGCGAGAATTCGTGAATCTAATTCTTAGCTATATAAAATATAATGTACATAATACGTTGCTCTTAGTTCTTCAGGTGTCGGTTCCGCACTCGTCAAAGATATTGTTAACGACGATGATTGTGATCGCTGTGATTTTGAAAGTTCTCTCCAATTTGAGCTCATTAACTCCTAAAGAAATTGTAGCAATACATATTACAAAAACGATTTATTTAATCGGCAGAAAAAATATTGAGAAATCGAATGATCGCTTACATACTTGTACTTTTGCCGCTTTTTCGTCATTGGATATATTAGGGTCATTGCGAATAGCAAAAATGGCTTTTCGTAATTTATTTTGAGCCTCTTGGTCAATTTCTGGTGGTGTTTCCTCTGCGTGGTTCATATTAATTGCATTCAATTCTTCGGCCAAGGCAATAATACGCTGTTCGTTATCTTCTTCTCCCTCCATTTCTACCCATTCCTCCTCGTTTTCAAAAAAACCTGCTATTATTGTTGCAGCATCACTCGTGTCAATTTGTCGATCTACAGCATGTACTCGGACTTAGTTGTTGTCTCTAATTCCAAGTTTATATTTACAAACTGATAAAACAAGCAAGCATACACACCAGCCATTGAAATGTAATTCGACTTTTCGTTGCAAGAAATGCGATAATTCTAATCTATGCGTAGATCGAAATCAAATCAAATATTTTTGACTTTTTCCATATGTATTGCTCTCTTATTCTCGGTAATAAAGAAATTCGATTGTTTGTATTTATTGGTTAGATCAATTAGAAACTTAAGTCGACTCCTTATTTACATTAATTAGCTATTGAACAAATTTATCGTTATATAATAAAAACGACCAAGAATTGCCGTATGTCCGTAATGACGAATCAGTCCAAGTGATATCGGAGCTTTCGCATTAATCAGGCTCTTCATAGTCAAAAGAGCACTAAGTAAACTTCTAGCTACCGTATTATTTATTGATCAATCGTTAATTTCTATGAGTGAGGGCCATTCTCACTGGTTGATTACTAATACAATATATACTTTTTTCATTCATAAAATTGAATCTTATTAACAAATCGATGGTTTATAGAATTATCAATGTAACAACAGATCATATAATACAATTCCTTCTATTTTATCTTTAATAAAGAGGACTGGCTGTACTTGTAATATTTAGAATTAAAAAAAAACAGAAATATTAAATCACAACTACTAAAAATGGACCACAATCTCACGTGATATTATTAGTGCAGTACAAGTATTTTGAGTTTTCTGTAGGACAGAACCCTTACTCTTTTTTGCGATCCAAAAGAGCGTCCAAGCACTTGACTAGGTCTGTTGTATCATAATGTGCCTCTTTTGGCATCCCCACTAGTCTTAAAATACCATCTACAACGACAAAAAAACGGAACGGCCAGGGTGCGTACAACTTTAAGAAAGTATCATTCATCGTATCTGCCAACACAGGGATCTCTAACTGGGTCGCTCTGACCATTTCATGTGCGGCGTTTAAACGATCGGTTAAAGTGCGGTGCTCCTTGACGGCTACGATATTACCAATAGGCCAAACATCGCTGGCGTGTGCTTCTCGAATTTGGATCATGTAGAAATCCACGTGTGTTCGATATCGCCTATATATGTCATTGAGAACATGAGATATGTATCGGAATAAAGGACAGGTATACGATCCGCCGAGGAGAACGAGAGGCCGTCCTGGTTGACAAAGTGAGTGTAAAAGAATTAGATCCGGTGAAGTGACGTTGCCAATTGTTGCTGAAGATTCTAGGGAAACCAGTGAGCAATCGGGAGCCGACATTCCTTCGGTAAGGTCTCCAATATGTGCAATGTTGTTACGAACATATACTTGAGTGGTGTGGAATGCAGGATCGTCTGTACGATGAGGAAAATGCATCAAGACCAATGACTTTGAGCACATCAAATACCAACATATACAATAGCAAGAAGAGAGTTGAAAGGTCTTCACCTGGATAAATCTGCGGAGCGCGTCTCAATAGTTGTACAGCCTCATCCGAATAGCCAAATTCTCGAACTAACTCATGTTGCATCTGATCGGTAACATCCATCCAATCCTTTCCGCATTTGGGGTCACTCCCAACATTATAATACTGTTTTTGTATTTCAGGCGAAAACCTTCGCCGTTCCTCCTCGCGTAACACAACCAACAAGTCTTCTTTTGTGTTTGGAAGTTTTGGAGAAATGGCAACAGAAACAGCGGAGATATCTTTCAAAACATTCTTTTGCATGTTTTGTGAGAGTGGCGGCAATGGATTAAATCCTTCGCGGCCACTGGTTGTTTGAAACATTCCGCCACGAAGTGCTTGTACATGATGAAGTGTGGAATATTTATTGATCTTGTAATCGCTTAAGGTACGAAAATCTTCCAATTGCTTGCCAGCAAAAATTAAACGTAGTTTATCGGAGGGATATCCTTCTTTATCTTGGATCTTTTGTTTAACATTGCTGATGGTGTCATTTGACTCTACTTCCAACGTTATGGTTTTTCCCACCAATTTCAAAAAGATATACATTATGAAGTGTGCAAGTGTGTTGTGAATAGACAGACGGGTGCTCTTTATATCGCAAAATAGATAACTTTCTCACGTATTTTTGTGTCATTGCCAAAGTTCTGATCAATAATCACACAATTATTATTTCACACGCTTGATTAATAAAAAGTCATCAATCTTATATTCAATCATTAAAGCTTTGTCCGAAAAAAGCCATATGATCATGTGATGAAACAAGGTTTTAATTTTATAACAAGATGTGTAGCAAGGGTTTCAGGCAATACAAAAAATCGTGTTCACATTATAGTTTTTATTGAACTTGTTCTATTTCAAAAAAAAAACATCTCAATATTATTGTATATTTAATCCTTTTGACTTAACATTGAAGTGGTATCAAAAGGCTGTAGAGACACGATCGAGCTCCCGAAATGGTTGAATTTTTCAAGTTTGAAGAGATTTATTCTAAGCAGTAGTTAAATATTTTACCACATTTGTCATCCGTTAACATTCAATGAAGATGTGTCTTATATTTATCAGTGAATTTCTTGAATAATAATTTAAAAATTCAATATAATACTATAAATCTATTCCATTCATGCGTCATTATATTATTTTTTGCACGCTTGATAATTAATCAATACTAAGTATGATCATGTGACGATACATCAATGAAACAAGATCTTAATTTTTATAATAGGCAAATATCAAAACTAACTCGTTTACAAGATGCGCGCAGTCTTACAAAGAGTATCGAGTTCAAGTGTTTCAGGCAATACAAAAAATCGTGCTCACATTACTAATCGATTATTATGATCAAGAATTTATAATTTAAATTTCTTTCCTTTAATAATAATAAATATAGTTAATGATAAACTAATATCCGCAATAAATCGTGGATTATGTGTTCTTGTTGGTATCGCATCAGATGATACCGAATCGGATATAGAGTATATTGTGAGAAAGATACTTAATGTACGCGTGTTTGAGGACGAGTCTGGGACAAAAATGTGGGAGCGAAGTGTCAAAGATGCAGGGCTTGAGATTTTGTGTAGTGAGTTTTTATTTATGTTTTTAGATTTTGATCTTTGTTAAGTATGATCCAGAAATGCTAATTTCCCCTATTGATCTAATTAGTATCTCAGTTTACATTGTATGCCAGCTTAACTAAAAGTATGAAAGTATCTTTTTGAATCTTTTAATTGTTAAAAGAATTTAATGTTTTTTTTTCTAGATAAACCAAGTTTTCATCAAGCCATGAAATCTGAATCATCGAAAGAAATGTATACAACATTCTTGAACAGACTAAAACAAGTTTATGTTGAGGATAGAGTAAAAGGTGATGTAATGTGACTTATTTATTAAAAATAATTAATAAAAAAGTATGATCAATAAATTTTGTATTTTGTCGATTCAGATGGAGTTTTCGGAGCCATGATGAAAGTTAACATTGTCAATGAGGTGATATTAATTTTTCGTTTAATTTTATTCAATGTTTCCTTTTTTATCTTGTGAAAGTTTGCTTGAAAATCTTGTAAATATTCAATAAGGGACCTGTTACTTTGGAACTTGATTCTAGGAAATTTACATATACTAATAATACTAGTACCACTTCTGATAAATAATCAATCGCTGTGTCGATCCGATCCGGATTCGACGTATTATCATAATTAAAGCAAGGAAAAATACAAATCCGAAATTTAAGCTATATATATATATATATGCGTGCATATATACACTAGAATGTGTATATTAATTTATAACATTTCAGGGTACTTAGAATATGTTCTAACTAATACCCTAGCCATGACAAGAAAAGGTCAGATCACGTGATATTTTTGTATGTCCGGAAAAATTATACGGTAACTCTCGATATAGTGAATCTCATTATAATAAAGAATTTTCTCAGGATCACTATTAAACTTTCGCTTGATATAGTGAAGTTATATATTATTCTCTCGATATAACTATAGTGAAGGTTTTTTTCTTGTCCTGATGTCTTCACTATAATGAGTGAATTGTAGTGATTCTGGCTGATAATCAAAAATCGGCTCAGCTGACCTTTAGTGCAACATGCTAAAAAAGAAAGCCAACATGTAGATAGTAATTAACGTTAATAAAAAACGTGGTTATTGGCGTTACAGTTAGCTTTAGATATGTTAAAAGTTCGACTTGGTTCTGCTTGGTTTCAGGAGTCGAGTCTTAATCAAACTCGGCTTTGAGTCAAATCACCTGATATACATGTGATATATGTACTATTACATATACATCTAATTTAGGCAAGTTTTCGTTTTTTTTTGATGGTTTTTCTTCTGTAGAATGATCGCTTTCAAGAGAAGTTTGAGTATCATCAGCCTCGGTAAAAGAATTGTTAAAAGGATAAGAATTTGTAGAGGACATCGAAATTAGCGTATTAGGGTGAGAGCAGTGTTGTCGCTTGGACGTGAATCCAGCAATTTGATTGGTTAGGACACTTGTCCCAACCAATCAAATTGCTGGATTCACGTCCAAGCGACAACACTGGGTGAGAGATACACGGATGAATGAATAGGAAGAAAACAAGCGGTTTTTTAAAATCGTCTTAACCATTTTACTAATGTAGTTATTTTTTATTTAAATGAAATAACATCCTTTTGTTCAATCAAACACATTGTTATCAAGTGAACCCGAATTAGGTAATACATTGTATAATCAGGTGAGCGCGAATATTTTTCAGTTGTTATCTTGTCCGAAGTTTTGAGTCATCGATTACTGATTAAATTATATTTAGGATTATTAAATTCTCTAAATTAGAAGGTATTGATGGGTAGTGGTTTAGGGTCGTTAGTTGTAGAGTCGCTGAGATCTATTAGTTTTATATATTTTTTTGTAAGATGGTCAATAAAAAAAAGCGACTACTTACAAGAATCATTTAGCGAGAGCTATTCCTAAGCTTAGCTATTTACATGTTTACAGTTATTTATCTTCCTCCATCGTGCGTTGCTTATTTATTGATTTGATTGATTTAATCGACTTTGGGTGATAATTTTGTTTACAGTCGATCAGTAATTTAAAGGTTAGGGTTAGCGCTGGAGCTGGAGCCAAGATTATATGTAAAATTGCCTTCCCGACGCTTTTTTTTTTTAGTGTACCAAGCTAGATTTAGGCATTTGTTTCCCGTATTTTTTACATTTTTCATTTTTTTTTTGTGTCGGATTTGTTTTGCCGAGACTCTGTATCACAGTAAAATATAACATTACGAGATAGCATTGGTTATTCAGCAATTTAGTTAAATGAAGCCAGAAGTCAAAGAAAAACCATTTACTAGCGTGAGAAGTGTTGTCAAGGTACTTCCTACTTGTAACAAAATATTTATTTGACAAAAATGAATTGAATTAATTGAATTTGACAGTCAGTAGTGCGTAATGCGAACATTGGCGAGGTATAATATTATTTGTTAATTAATTTAACTAATTAATTAATTAATTAATCAATTAATCAATTAATTAGGAAGTAATACGTACCGCGAAATTGTTTGTAGCTGTTGACGCTTCGATGAAATCCACCTACCAAGTAATTATATCTGTATTTTTCTAAAACTCTATAAAAATATTTCTCACACTTTGTTTTTATTTTTTGAATTAATCAAGTCAATGGAAAAAATCACTGCTGGGATTGTTCAACTACAAGAACGGTATTTATTTTGATCTTTTATGATGCGTGCTGAGCTTTTAATAGGTCTATTAACTTGTAATTCAACCAAAAAAAAAAAAAAAGAAATGTGCAAACACTAGAAAATTTACGCATAGTTCCGCAAATATATGACGGATTGATAGTAGAAGAGTTGATTAGATGTCCACCACACATTTCTATTTCCTCCACCACCATTGGACCATAAAAATATCTGTCTCATCAGTCGTGTCTTTATAAAAAACCTGTTTGAATTTGAAATTAGCAGTAAAACCAATTTAATAAATAGTTTGTTTTTCAGGAGTGAAAAAATTTTCAAATCAACTAGATATGCCAGGTGGAAGTTTTTTCGAGCCAAAAAACTTGGCATTTGGAACGGCATTACCGCTCACATTTTTTTTCTCTTGGTTGGGTTTAGGTTCCACACCGATTCCCGTATATCCGTTATTTGACTTGCCGTTGATAGTATTTTTAGTACGCGCAACAAAAACCATATTATATGATAGTCTATTATTCGGTTTTTTAGCATTCAGCATAGGACTATCATATAGAGACTCTTCATCCACCGCTCTAAATTCTCCATTTGATAATCTAGCGGTAATTATATTAGTCGGATCTGTGATCGCGTTCTTAACAATTTTACCAGCCTACGTCGAAAAAACGATCAATGAGAAATTAAAGAAGTCCAATTTCTTTTTGTTTGCTGGTCTTTGGATGGCCGTATGGTTAGTCTATCGCAGGTACTCGCCTTTTGGTTCGTGGGGAGACTGGGCGTATACGATACAAGGCGCTGGTGATGCGTTAATTCAATCTGCATCGCTCTTTGGACTTAGTGGGATAGATTTTCTACTTGCGTGGTGGGCGCACGTCGGTGCCGAAATTTTAAATGAGCTTACAAATGCTGGTGCCGGTCAAGATGACCTTATTTCTTATGAAGACGACGACGAAGGTACACCGTTGCTATCACGTGATCAGAGAGAAATTGCAAATCAACGATCGCGTAAAAGGAAAATTCTTTCGTTGTTTGTATTTCTCGCCGTTTTTACATACGGAGCATCAAGAATAAACGATATAGAAACCAACACCCAAACATCCAATATAGTCAAAGTAGCATGCGCTTTGTCGTCGCCATCAATCGACGAATCACCAAAAAGTGAAATGATTAAACGCACCAAAAAATTAGTCACTATAGCAAAACTGGTATTATGGTCCGAATCAGCAGTGCGTCTAGAGTCCACAAACGAAATGGAACAATTTCTAACGGAGATCAAGAGCTTTAGTACAAATCACTCTAATGTCGGTGTAACGTACATTGTGCCGACTGGGGACGGTAAATATCGGAATGTCTTGAGTTTTATAAACAGAGAAGGCGAAGTAGTTTTCAATTATACAAAAACCCATCCTGTACCAATTGCCGAGGGGTATTCTACAATATCAGGTCCCGGCATATTACCAATTACAGAAATTGACGTCCGAGAAGCAAAAAAGACACCTTTACCACTTAAGATCAGCGCAGCTATTTGTTTCGACATGGACTTCCCTTCACTTGTTGCAGGAGCTGCTAGTGCTAATTTAATGCTTTCGCCAGCACAAACTTGGTCTTCGCGGATTGGCTTAGAACATTTACGTATGGCCAGTGTTCGAGCAATTGAACAAGGATTTTGGCTATTACGTTGTGACGCCGGTGGTGTTAGTGGTTTGGTGGATGACATAGGAAGAATACGAAATTGGCAAGTTGCCTCAAAAGACGGTGTCAATGATTTAATTTTTGATTTACCGCTCAGTGAAAAAAGGACGACTATATATTCCAAATTTGGAGATTGGGGCCCGTTGGCAATTTTGGCATTGATTGCTCTGTTAACGGCCGTGCCAGGATCATACGTAGAAAGCTTCGAAGAGCATACCGATAATTTGTGTGCAAATGCTTATAAAAAAGCATTGGATGCACTTCCGCGTAGTTCACAAAATAACGCGAGTTATTTGTAGTACGCCAAAAAATGGGGCTGACACGAAAGGGTCAAATAGTTTAGACCATTTTCCATTTAGTATTTTCATATTGATTTTACGTGTTAAATTTTTATTTTTCTGATGTTTTTTTTACATTTTTCAAGATTAAACAATAAATGAATATTATTACTATTCGATCTGTCGAGTATTTGTCTGGGCATTCAAAAATGTTCACCCCAATACATGCCTATTAGGTTTCAAACATTCCTCCTCTAACCCCTTAACTCTGACCACTTCCACACCTTTTTCCCTCAACAGATCCACGCCCACACACTTTACAAAGTGATCCGGTTCTTCGACACCTATGACAACTCGCATGATTCCAGCCTCGAGTATTTGGTCCACGCAGGATCGCTTACCTGATAATCGTGTGCTACATGGTTCCATCGTAGTGTAGATTGCCGCACCGTTGGGTATCAATGTTGTTGAATTTAAACTAAGTTTTAGCAAAGCACATTCTTCCGCGTGTGTATTTCCTGGTAGTTCACGAGAGTATCCTGAACTGAGGACTCGGGAGTCTTTAACGATGATCTTATTTGTAATTTATTATTAATATTCCAAGAATTTCGATGACTATAAAGAAACACCTGAAAGAAAAGAATTTTTTGTATACCGCGCCTACACAGTACGCAGTGGGTACTGGAATCGATAAATTTGCTTGTTCGATCGCAAGACGCATGTATTGGATGTCTTTTTCATTTTGTTGATCTTTACAAAATCAAAAAAAATGTAAATTGATCGGGTGATTGGATCAATAGACAAAAACCTACTAATTCTTATTACCAGCAGTCATGTTTTGTATATATATGAATATATATGTGTTTCTAATCTAAACACGACAATTTGGAATGATGATGATTTTTACATGCTGTGCGACGGGATGCCAAAAAATCAGTCGATCAATAAGTTAATTGTGGCATTCGATGATTGGAATAAAATATGCGAAAATTTATTTGGATTTTTGGTAATTATCGTTATTGCCATGACAGAACTAACAAAATCCATTCAAGGTAAGTAATACTGATTTACTGTTACTTGAAAATGGTTAACAATATTTTATTATGGTCGTCTAATGTAGAGATAATGGAAACAGAAGAAGAAACAGTAAAAACTTCCACAACGACAGAAACAAAACAGCAGGAAGAAGAGCCGATAAAAGTTAACAAATGGAATTTATCGGATTTGAAGAATGCGTGTGATGATTATGTTCAAAAGGTTGATTTTGATTTTTCATTGATTTTTGTCGTGAAACAACTCGGGGTCTTTCAATATTGAACTTAAGAAAATTGACTGCTGACCAACAAATTAGTATTTAACAACAAAAGCTCAGTACCGTCAGCACCACACACACACAGACTTCAAACTCATTCTCGGGTACTTGTCGTGCGTGTTTGCCTTGGTTGGCGGATCATACACGTATGTCACGCCGTTTCAGGAGTCGAAAGATATGACGTTGGTTTGCGTTATTGCGTAAATATCTCTTTATTTTACTTCCACGTTGATTCTTTTTTTTTTTGGTTAAATAACGAATAATTAACTAAAATAGATATTTGACCCTAAACGCGATAATGATTGCATATTCGTTGTTTGTTGAAAAGGATACAATTTTTGTTGGGAGTCCACTTGTAACAAACAAGGTAATAAATTTTATTAGTTAGACATCATTATAAAAAGGGATTAATAATCAAACTTGCTCCCATAATAAGGATTCGGAAAGCTATCACAAATTAAGCATACATACCACCACAAAACGGTACTCGGACATATACAATATCACATTTGAAGTAAAACATACAAATGATGCATCACGCACATCATCATCACCGTCTTCCACAAAGGATAGTAACAAGTACACAATTTCGCGATCTTATGGTTGTTGGTTTGATGTGAACGGTGTTTTGGATTTAGAGATTTTCGAAAAAGTTTTAATGGAGGGTATAATTGTGGCTGTGTCTGGTGAAAAACCTCATGAGCAATAAGTATATTTATAATGAATAAGAGTAATTTTTTGATGTATGATTATAATTTAATAGGATAATAGTGAAAGTGATAATTATACAAACAATCGAACCAACTATAACTAGTAATAACAAAAAACTATTTACAAGTTCGATCTAAACGCTTCTGCCTTCTTCCGAATCTCTCCCGCCAATCTAATCACACTCCAAAGCGTGATTCTCTTCTCGCTCGGCTTCCAATTCTTTGGAAGCTTCTCTTCACCAAGAATACATCTCAAATCATCTACACTAATTTCTTTTTTATCGCTACCAAACGTCAGAAGAAAAATCGCCGATTCGCCAAACGACAGCATTCTCTGTGTTAATCCGAATGTGAAATCCTTGTTTTCTTTCAGAGATTGACTTTCACGAATATTTCGTGCTTTTGCCAATGATTCTTCATTGATTTTTTCGTTAACATGTAAGGATACGATTTGGTCAACTAGTTTTTGGTCGACTTTTGAGTTGTCGCCGAGACTGGCGTCTTTTCGTGAGAGTGACGCGTCGTGTTCTATTACGTTGTGGGTATTGAGTTGGTCTAATGATCTTTTGATTTGGTCATTTATCGTGATTTTGTTTGTTATTCATGCATGATTTATATTTAAAAAACATATTGCTACTCACAATTTCCCATTCTCACCAAGCAATAGAATCGAGCCTTTTGCTAGTACATAAGCGAGTCCTTTTGACACGTTAAAATGTTCCATTGCGTCACGCATTTGTTCAGTTGTATAATTTTTACCATCACGTGGTCTTTTTTATTATTGGCATTATTAGTATTATCCAATAGTTTTGGAATATCAAAGGCTTTCATTAAATTAATTACAAGTATCCATGGTTCGCTAAAATATTTAAACCGGGGCACGGTGACCTTTTATCGTTCTCGCCGGGTGGTCTCCATTCTCTATCAATATTTTTTGATTCTGTCATTTTTTTCTTATCACTTACAACTGATATAAAAAAATAATAATAATAATATATAGTACTTTTCGTTAGATGAGAGTGTATTTAAATTCAAACCGAATTGAGATGCTTTATTTATATTTTGCTTTTTGGCGCGAGTTATCAGGGTACATTTTCTCATCATGATGCAACAATTTCTCATGGCGCATAGAGAATAGATAAACACGTTCCACGTGCGTGATGATCTACACATATATCAGTTCGTTTTTTTGGTTTTTCCTCGAGAAAAGAACAATGATATTCACAGCCTTGGTAAGAAAAACCTGACAATATTCGAATATGATTTTGTAACTAATTCCTATTATTATTTTTTGTCTCTATTTCTTAAATCTAAATAAGTCTGATTGGGAGTCTGCGACACCGTACACATCTCTCATCCCACAACAACTATTTCCAGTACTCGCATTGGTTTTGTTGTTGTCTGGTGCTGTTGCTACGAGTACCTTTTCTGTGTATCCTTTTTTTTGTTATTATAAAATCAATCAAAAAATCAAGCGTCTTTCTTTCTGTGGTGGAGGTATGAAAGAGTCAAATTAGAATGAGACGAGAATCTTTTCATAGTATATTTCCTTAACAATCGATTAATAATCAAAAATCGTAAACAACAAACAGAACGAAAGCAGAAAATCTAGCTACCAAGGAACTATCTTTTGCTATGCTAGCATCACTGCTTCTCGGGTTCGGGACAGTATTTTTGTTCATGTCGGTGGGAATTTATGTGTAGGAGACACAAAAGAACTTTCAAGAACATTAGTGAAATGGAACGAATAGATGGAAGAAGAATCATAAAAAGAATCGATGAAAAGAAAAAGATACTGGTCGATTAAATATAATTAATAGATACATTTCTGCATTTTTTCTAGTTATTTATAATTTATACTTGGAAAAAAATTGATACTTGCTATTTAGAAATTTTAATTTTAATTCAACTTTAATAAAATATTTGTCGGGGTTTTCTTAATCGCAAAATCAAGAATGCCTCTCGCTTTCATTGGATCATATGAAAATAGTATAATCTACATCGTCTGTCGTCTGTGTGATGAAAACAATCACTTGAATTTCCCATGAAAGGTGTAAAAACCAACATGCCATATTCGGGAAGAAAATTACATAACTAGTTTTTCGCACGAGGTCAAAATTAGTTTAGTCTTTAGTTAGTTTATAATCTTTAAATTAATATGACGCTTTTTGAAAAACAGTAGAGACTGACGAAACTCCACCGCGCTATCAAAGCGCCCTTTTACCATAAATATTAGTATGCGACTAAATTAAAATATAGAATAAATTATTTTTATTTTATGTATATATAGCTTTTTTTTATTATATATATATAATATATATATACACGCACACTTTAAAAAAAGGACTTCTCGAGGAGGTTTTTTTTTGTTATTCCTCACGCTAATAAAATTAAGTTACAATACATATACATTAAAAATAATGTCACCTAGTGAAGTTTCGCAACGTACTGATACAAATGAATCATTAAAACAAGGAGGTGATACTACAAACTGGCCTACTGACGGGACTGCACTCATTTGTATAGATCCTTGGTTGAAGCCTCATGCACCAGCTTTACGTCAAAGGTTCTTATTAAATTAATTTATATCGATCTATTTATTCGAATTAAATTGGGTGAAATCTTTATGTTAAAATCAATTGACTATACAAATAAAAAGATATGCCGTCTTCAAGGAATGGGCAGATAAAATTGAAAAACATGAAGGTGGATACGAGAAATTTACCAGGGGTTACGAATACTTTGGGTTAAATGTTCAAAGTAATGGTAATGTTGTGTATCGTGAATGGGCGCCTAATGCTCTCAGTGCCTCGTTAATTGGGGATTTTAGTAAGTAGAAATCAGATTCCATCACAATCAGGCATTATTACTGTTTATTTATTAAAATAATTGGTACCTTATTTTTTAGATCATTGGGATAGAAAAGCTAATCCAATGAAAAAAATGACACATGGTGTTTGGGAAGTAACAATTCCTGCGATATCACCTGGTACCCCACGAATTCCCCACAACACGAAAATAAAAGCAAGTTTTTTTAATAAAAATATTACTCTATATGTTATCATCCATGTAATAATCACTTTTATTTTCTGTCATAAATAGATCTCGATGGAAATCTCTGGAGGCGAAATAATCGATCGTCTACCAGCATGGATAAAGCGAGTGACCCAAGACATGAATGTTAGTGTGGCGTATGACGCCATTTTTTGGAATCCTCCGAAGAAATACGAGTGGAAGAATAAAACACCGAAAAAACCTTCGAGTTTGAGAATTTATGAGGCCCATGGTAAGATTAAGAATAGGTTTTGATAAAGATATTTTCTTTTATGTGATGTAATAATATTATTTGATTTGTTCGTATAAATATATAGTTGGTATATCATCAGTTGAAGGTCGTATAGCTACTTATGACGATTTCACCAATAACGTGTTGAAACGAATCGCAGATCTCGGCTACAATGCCATTCAATTGATGGCTATAATGGAACATGCGTATTACGCGTCATTTGGATATCAAGTCACTAGTTTCTTTGCTGCTTCTAGTCGTTATGGTAATCATTTTTTTTTTATTATTAAATTACGGATTAATCATATTAATATCTTTTTTTTTAAAAAAAATACAGGAACGCCTGAAGCACTGAAACGCTTAATTGACACAGCCCACGGACTGGGTTTATATGTGTTGCTTGATCTAGTGCATTCGCATGCTTGCAAGAATGTGCTTGATGGGCTAAATATGTTTGATGGTACAGATCATTGTTATTTCCATGGAGGTAGTAAAGGCCAACACAGTCTTTGGGATAGGTAATTAGCTTTTTATGTATTTTCTATTTATACGCTAAAATTAATTGAATCAAATATTATTATCCCTCAAGCCGTTTATTCAATTACGGCCATCACGAAGTTCTTCGTTTCTTGCTATCGAATGTACGATTCTATGTGGAAGAATATAAATTTGACGGGTTTAGATTTGATGGTGTGACTAGCATGTTATATATTCATCATGGTATCGGAACCGGATTTTCTGGGGGATATCATGAATATTTTAGCGATCAGGTTGATGAGGAAGCAGTCGCGTATTTGATGTTGGTAAGTAAAAAAAAAAACACACACACACACTTTTGTCGGTTATTATTGGTGTAATGACTAAAAAATTTTACTCAGGCAAACGATATGATCCATAAATTATATCCCGGAATTATAACTGTTGCTGAAGGTAACGAGCGCATTTTTTTTTATATGGAGATTTTCTATCTGGTAATTATTATACTAATTAATTTTAATTCCGAATGTTTAGATGTGTCAGGAATGCCTGGATTAGGTCGTCCTGTTGAGGAAGGTGGTCTGGGGTTCGACTATCGTCTCGCAATGGCTATTCCTGATATGTGGATCAAGTTACTAAAAGAAAAGAGAGATGATGATTGGGATCTTGGAAATATTTGCAGTATATTAACAAACAGAAGACATATGGTCTGTTTATATTATCAATTTAAATATTTTTTTATTTAAAGAAAATAACTAAGGAATAAGCTAAATTTTCTTCATTCAGGAAAAAACAATCGCATACGCAGAATCTCACGATCAAGCCATCGTCGGGGACAAAACATTAGCATTCTGGCTTATGGACTCAGAAATGTACACCAACATGTCGGATTTGAGCCCATTAACACCGGTAATCGATCGCGGGCTCGCCCTCCACAAAATGATTCGTCTTTTGACTCATGGGTTGGGCGGCGAAGGATACCTAAACTTTGAAGGAAACGAATTCGGACACCCAGAATGGCTTGATTTCCCACGTGTGGGTAACAATAATTCGTATCATTATGCAAGGCGACAATGGAATGTGGTGGATGATAAGTTGTTACGATATCGGTATTTGAATGAGTTTGATAAAGCGATGCAACATACTGAAGAAAAGTTTGGATGGTTGGCTTCGCACCAAGTATGTCTTTAAGGTTTCAGCTGATTGATTGTTTTTTGTTTTGTCAATTACTTAATTTTTTTGTTTTGGGAATGAAATGAACAAACAGGCATACATTTCACTCAAGCATGAAATGGATAAAATCATTTCATTTGAACGTGGAAACTTACTATGGATCTTCAACTTCCACCCGACAAAATCTTTTACCGACTACAGAATCGGCACGGAGTGGGCGGGCGAGTACCATGTTGTGTTGAATACCGATTCGAAGCAGTTTGGTGGGCACGAACGGATTGATGTGTCGATACCATATTTTTCAACACCTGAAGGGTGGCATGGGCGAAAGAATTTTATCCAGGTGGCGAGTTTTTTTTTAATTAGAGATGGAGTGTGGTTTGGCATTTGTTTAATAGTTTTTTTTATTAATTGTGATTTCTACTTGGATTTTTTTGGACTCCTTAGGTTTACATTCCATGTCGCGTTGCTATTGTCTTGTCTCATAAATCGACCGCCTAACAACAATATAAACTCGATATACACGAATCTCACTGTCATTTTTGGTTTTTGTATATTTATATTTATATTTATATATAAATGCGTATATATTTCGTTATTTTTTTAAATAAATATTGATCGAGACATTGTGGTCGTTTTTACCACATTGAAAAAGAATGTCCATTGTTGATTTAAGCCTTATTGGATGTCAAATATATTTACTTAATACTGAAATGATTTTATTAAACAGCCATTAATCCCCCGTTAGTTCATGTAATGAATGATAAAGACAATTAAAAAGTCAAAAGATTTTCCGGAAACAATCAATTCTGTCGAATCGATTATCTGCCACCTATTTATCGACCAGGCCGCGAGGGTGATAACTACCAAACGTTTGAAAGGATTGCGGTTTTACCGTAGCCACCCGAATGCTGAGATTTTTTAACGAAATTGCGTTGTTGGGAGAACGAACACGTCAACACAAGGCATTTTTGTTGTCCTTTATCTTCATCACAAACCGACGAAAATACGGTTTATAAACTTTGCTCTTAGAAGATAAATGATATTTCTTTGGTATTTTATTTTATTCAAAATACAAAAAGAAATAATTCAAATTTTACATACATCTTTCATCCACATCCCTTATTACATTTCAACAACCTATTTAATTCCTTTTCATCATCCCACCATCTCACCAGATCTCTACTCTCCAACCCAATGAAATGAACTTATAGCGCTGACTGATCCCTATATCTTGGTTCATCGGTCTTAAATTAGGACAATGCTTCCGGGAATTTGTGCTATTGAGTGTTTGGATTCATTCAATCATTTGATACTTGAGCCTAACAGAGATATCACGTGAAATGATCATCCGAGGCTGAGGCTATTGGTTTTAATCCAGAATTAAAACATCCCGAGCCAGAATATCAAGATTTATATTTGTTACGTGCCTATCTTTACTTTCGGAGAAATTAACCATCAGTTGGTTCCTTCTACTTTTGGTTACAACAAGCTGAGTAAATAAAGAGAAGACGCGAGGAATTTTATTCAATCCATCAAAACGAGGTTGCTTTGTTTTCCGTGTGTGGGTGGTCATTAATATCATACAAGGAATAAAAATAAGGACTATGTTATAATTTAAAGCTGAATATATATCGCACGTTCTCTTATCAGATCAAATAGTATGTTGGCTTTTATTTGTTTGAAACTCTATTTCATTATGTACTTGTGAAAAACTCGTAGCGAGTATCACGTATCATATCGAGGCTCGAAATATTATATATATACACTTTATGCTCAAATAATGATGATAAGAGACAACAGATAGTAAAAGTTTCCTGCCGCTTTATTTACTTGATGATTTATTTCTTAGAAGGCCATAATACATTCAGTATTCGATAAAGGAAAGAATTTAGATACGCTGACTGGCTCAAGTTTATATTAAAGAAAAGTTGTCGATTAGTTTCTCTTGCTCACATGATTTTACATCAAGCGCATATATTAATCTTCGTTATTAAGTGCAAACTAAAGTATTCTGACAAAATCTAAAATCATCAAAACGTCATGTCGTTTGAACCATATGAATATGACGACCCTAAAGATAAAGGACCACTTACACAAAACGATTTAGACGCGTTGTATAGCTATTGCTATAAGTTAGACAATGAGGCAATTACAGAAATGAAGAGACGCACAATGGTAAATACATCAGTTAAAATAATATTTTACCCTTTTTCATTGAGTATATTTTTTTAATTTGTTTTTTTTTAAAGGAGGCTTCTGAAAAGTTTCAAGAAGAACTAATACAGGCTCAACTGGACGCTAGAGAACAAGCTAGGCGCTATGTGCTTGTTGATCTTCGAAATGAACGTCAAGAACAATGGGATCGTGTCCAAGAGGAATTCGATCGAATACATGCACAATTGTAAGTTTTAAGAGAAAGTTTTTATGTTTCTATGTAATTTTTTTTCTGATTTGCGTATTTTTTATAGTGAAGAAGAACGGAGACAGTTAAGAGAATTATATCACCAGAGAGAAGCATACTTTCGAAACGCGTATGACGTAATTACCTTAATTATATTTTTCATCGTAACAAGTTTGCTCTCTAATTTAAAGAACAATTATTATATCTATAATAGCAACTAGCAAGAGAAGAACGCGAAGAAGCAGAGGCTCAACAACGAGCACAAAAAGAAGCTGAAGAACATGAACGTTTGAAACGGGAAGAGGAAGAGCGCATCAAAAAGGAAACAGAGGAGCGTTTAAGACGAGAAGCGGAAGAGCGAGCAAGAAGAGAGGCTGAAGAGCGAGCAAAAAGAGAGGCTGAAGAACAAGCCAAAAAGGAAAAAGAACTTGAGGCAAAAAGGCAGGCTGACGAAGCCAACCGAAAAGCCGCACTTGTCGCTGCACAAAAATCTGTTCCATCATCATCGGCTGCTTCTACCACCGCACCGGACCCTAATATTGATAAAGCGCTTGCTGTATACGAGGAGATTTACAAGAATCGATTAAAGCTAATCAAGGAAAGGTTGATGGATAATCAGAATTTGAAAAATTCAGCCTTTCAGCACATAAAAATTGTCAGACTACGATTAAATCAGCTGACTAATACGAGAGACTCGATACTCAATATTGTAAATATCTTGTTCAATTTACATTATTTACTCATCATCATTCTAATTAAAGCATAAGTATTTTTTATGTTTTTATAGGTCAACGAGTTCACGCTAGTGCTGCGAAATGTTCAATCCACTGGTGATTTATACAACTATTTGCTTAATTATATTGCGGAAAATGTAGTAGTAAGTATTATTTCATTTTTTATTGTTATAAATGGTTTCTTCTCCCAAGTTTACTTTATTGTTCTTTTCCATAGTCACAAGCTGAAGTAGAGACATCATCAACTCATTATTCTGCCGCATATAAACTGGCGCATATATGTGTGCTTCTCAATAGTCAACATCCGGATTTAATTCATTACATGATGGTTCAATTAGCCATGCGATGTCCTTATGTGATCCCGCTATATCACGTACAACAACCGGTTTGTACTTAATTTTTATTTTTATTTATTCACTGATGGCAGTTATCAAAATTTTTTATTAATTTCTAGGGTCAAAGCATTCAGCAGTTCAATGAATTGATCGGCTATAAAAAAGATGAAGAGGAAGACAAGTATATTGGACGAATGCAGGCGATAGTGGCATTATATGCCGCCATTTTGCAAACCACGCCTTTTATTCCTAGTAAGACGTTTTTTTTTGTTTTTTATATCAACAAATGTTTTATTCTAAATTAACTATTTCTTTAATATAGATGTTCGGAATGATTACTCTATGGAAGATGCGTGGAAATGGTTATCCAAAACCGCGAATCTTACACCAAGATCAATCACCCCATATCTGGTGTATACATTCTTGCAAGTAAGTTTTATTTTTATTGACTATTAGTAGAGATAATGCTAACATAAATAATTAAGTTTTTATTTTTATTGAAATTATTAAATTTTCTTAGCACCGATAATCTAACATAAATAATCAATTTATAGATAGCTGGACCTAAACTTATCGAGTTTTATCCTTACCCCAATCAAACACAAAAACTCATCCGAACTTATTATAATCGATATTATCTCAATCCACCCAGAGAATACGTGAATTTGAAGAAGGAATCGGCGGCGGCCATGTCACGTTTACAAACGTTTCTTATGGAGGTGGTTAACAATAATTTCCGGTTTCCTGAATCACCTGGTAGATATCCAACTAATTAACAAGCTAAGAGCGAGGAAGAAAAGGTATTTAAGATTTTTTGTGAAAGATCGATTCTCTTATGCTTTCGAGATTAATACAAGACCAAGCATGAATTTGCCATATGATCGATTGCACTTTTAACGCTACGCTCAAATACTGCACAAATGAGCCTAATAGAAATTTCACGTAAAATTAACAATATGTAAATTGGATTCGACGCAGAAGTTAAGCAAGGCCTTTTAATTCAACTCTATTTTGAATTGAAAAAAGTCTCGCTTAAGAATTACTTTATCTGTATTTACAAATCTCCCAAAAATTGGGATTATGTAATTAAGAGTGTAAAAATTCTCTAGATAACCTGTATTACAAAATAAACTTGAAACTCAAAGCAGATAGATAAAAAAAGAATCACTGCTATCGATAGCTTTAAAGCTCTATTTTATTCAAGTTTCGAATCTTCATCTTCTTCATCCCAAACAAAATCTCCAGCAACCTCGCTATCAGCGTGTAACTGCGCCAACCCTGTAACTTCCTCCAAATAACTATCCGACGAACTATTAAACACGCGTAACAAAAAGTCAAATCCGTGTTTACGGTATTCATCAATTATAATGTCGGAACAAGCGGTACATCTGTTATACGCTTGACCGACAATAATCATATTGTTGAAGTGTGTGAGGAATCCGCGGATCTGGTGAGGTATGATGCCAAGTGGGGAATCGGTGACGGATGACAAGGATTCAGAAATTGAAAGATTCGAGTGAGCTGGTGCTGCAGCGCTTTAATGTTAAATATCAATTGGATGCAATTAAATGTACTGTTATTGTAAAATAAAAATCACGAATAATTGAAAAAAGTATTAAAAATTCCAGCACATACCCTTTCTCATGGTGTAAAACAGATACCATCAACTCAACTGCCAGAGCACCAGCAATAGGCGCTAGTCCTGGTCTTGTTACTGTGCATTGTTGATCAAGTGTACGATCCTTCAGAGAATCCGTTGGCGCAACTACATCATTACAGAAATAACAGCCTAGTTGTTTTACACCCGACAAGCTATGTTCAGCTTCGTTGGTAGCCTTTTTTTCAGAATTTGTATTATCGTTACTCTTGACACCATGCCGCATTACTAAATAAGTGTCGAAACCCAATGCCACGTTTATGACTTGCTAAAAATAACTCAATATATGTTAAATTCAGATAAATGAAGTGAATATTTTAAGATACAAATTTAGTTTTAAGAATACCTTTTGCATACTTGCTCCCATCAAAGTGGGCAACCATCTACTTTCTCGACTATCTGTCAATAAGAAAATCACATCGTGTGATTGAATCAATTGAGTCAATTTATTGACGTCTTTTTGTGCTTTGATCAGTGTTGAAATAGGATGACCAGGCATCGGGATATTAATCTCATAGCCTTCTGAATTCTAGATCAAGGAATAATAATAAGTTCACGAGTATCTAAAATGTTAAACGCCCTTCCTTGGTAGATATAAATCATGAAAGATAAATACTCACGACCCCCGGATAAATTTTCTTTAAATTCTCTGCAGCGGTTTGAGCTTTTGGCTTACCGCCATCCAAACAATCTTCAAAGAAGAATAAAGGTTGTCGTACAGGGTTAGAAAAAGAAACGCGTGAATTATCAACAAAGGTAATATTGCGAACACCCCATCCCTTGCAATTCCACAAAAATTAATAAATGAGATAATATAAACGGGAAACGATAAACGAAGCATAGAACGAGATCGCGATCGATCGATATATAAAATACTAAAATCTACCAATAAAGTTCTTGCAACATAACAACCCAAAGTTCCAGCTCCTAATAAAAGACATTTTGTGTCTCTGATTTTTTCCAGGTCCAAGGAAGGCACTATTCGCCATCGCATTAATTTTAGATTGAGATCAACCGAGGTATCGGCTAAGCTTGTGTATTGATAAACACAACAATGGCAAAGGTAGGTGAATAAATCAATATCAAAAACTTGCTATGATTGATATGAATTTATTGATATCCAAACCTTTCGGGACTCATAAGTGGTGCAAGATCCGCTGTTCGGGGACCTAGTTTGCCCTGTGCATTTTTTTCCCAACCAACGGCTTTTGGACCTTCATCTAATAGTATATAGTTGTTAATTATTTATTAAATAAAAAAAATATGCATTGGATCCCGTGGAATAATATAGGCCACTCATAAACCTGAAATTTTCGGTTCAGTCGGCAGTTCGACCGTCAAAAAGATACTTTGAGAGATATCTTTTTTTCCTACAATTTCTCGATAGCAGAGTACTTTTATTTTTTTGACATGCCATTGCCGATGCAAAAGAACCAAAAAATTACGTAGAGGCCATCCAGGATTTGTAGGTAAACTAGATGGGTCTACAAATCCTACAATTCTCTAGAAGAGCGCATTTTGTTATTATTAATATAGCTCAGAGACAAATATAAATAAATTAATACCTCATCGTCACTCAACCCTTCAAAGAATGTTTCCCATTCAGATAAACTCCCAACAACTATTTCTTTTTTATTATCTTCCAAAATTCTTTCTTTAATTAGAAAGAAACCAGAGTTACGATCAACTTTAACCTGGCTGAATTTCTCAAAATTTACACGAAAGCTTTGAATCTAACAATTGAAATTAAGCTCAAATAAGAATGAATTCCAAAGTTACTGCAATTATATGATCAAAAAATATAACCTCGTCCTGATTCCAAACTTCAATACCGGAAACTTTTCCATTATCACCAATAACCCAAGCAGGATCGGTAAGGAAGGCAGGAAAGGCAAACCAATAGTGATATTTATATTTTTTTAGATCGGCAAAAGTAATAAGTAGGAATCGAGTAAGAAGAGATGGATTCTCTATGGCTTTCCCGCTTACAATGTCGTTCCAAATCTTGAACATCAAAATAAAAGATAAATAAAATCGCGCACTTATAAATATCATGTCTTATGTTGTTAATGCGTGTTTCGCATCAATTAACTATTCAAAAGAATTTAAATGAACTTCCTTACTTGTTCGGTAGTTGTTTTGAACAAGGCTTGCTTATCCAGACTTTTGAATTCTTCAATGGTATTCGTGATTTTTACTGTTCCAACCGAAGGATACGTAAACGGTGGCAAACTACCAATAGCTTTAATTATTTAGGGTTTTTGAAAAGCTGCAGTAATGCATGCCAGTAATCTTTAGTGTTTTCTAATGGTCCCCACACTAAACTTATTCTCACCGTAAAATATCACCTTCATCCGAATCAAAGGCTCCAGTACCAAGACACAGCCTCGATGGTAGTACCACATTAACTTCCGTGAGGTCTTTGCTGTTTGTTAAAGTGTGTCCAGTAGAATAGTAACCTACAATATTTTGAGGTGTGTCATCGAGTTTGTATAGATCGATTTTGCGAGTTGAGAGAGTATGCCAAAATGGAGCTTCTACTGCTGAAGAGAATGGAACGAATTGGACAAGAGGTGGAGAATGTGAGGTCATTTTTTCGAAATAAATTGTGTGTTGATTCAATTTCTTCGTGCAAACAAAATATATATCGAATGTGAGTTGATTTCAAATTAACCTAATTTGACTTTCTTTGTAATTGGATAATTTTTGTAAATTCTATTGGTTGATTGATAGTGATTTATATTAAAGTGTCGAATGATTTAGTCCAAATAAAGGGATATTCTTAATTGATTTTTCGCACTTGTTAAAGCATTTCGTAAAATAGATCTATATTATTATCGCCAATATTAGTATTCCAACTCATTTATATTTTCATCCCAACGCTGAACAGGCAACGTCTATAAAATAAAATAGTAAATTAATATACGTATATATATATTATTTTGTCGAAATTCTAATTTTGAAGTACCAAATTGCAAAAACTCCTCTATAGCTAACTTCCAAATTACTTCACCTTTTTTCAAATCACTTTAATGGTTTATAGAATATACCAGTGTTGGGAATTGGACGCCCAAATTGTCCAAAACTACTGTCCAGAACTTTTTACAAGTCTTGCATATTTAAGTAAATATATAGAATATATAATTTTATATATTTTTTATTATTAGTATAAAGTTAATTGTAAATATCAAATAGTTTTGGACAAATTTTCAATTGTCCCAATTTTATAGGAAATTAAATATGCGGTGATATTTGATGATCTAGAATCATGTTGATTTCTTCATAATTAAAACCGCTGCACAGATGATCAAAGGGTCCAAACTTCTTTCACCACGTTTAAAACTTGAATTAAAATAATAACGGCTCAACCACCTCAAAATTAAATTACATAGATTTGTAAGAATGATTTTCTAATTGTTTTTTTAATATTTGTAAATATAATTATATATAAGCCACATAAATTAATGATTCTGCAAATTCTGTGCATGAACACCCTAATGCGTGGTAATTATTTATCATCGATCAACCAGTCAAATGCATCATCAGGGAATTTCGATATCATCGAGGCCAGTTCTAAATCAAGTAAATTAAATTGTGATATTGATTTTATATAAAAAAAAGAAAAATAAAGTGTCTTACCATTTGTTATATTCGTCAATAATCGACTCGTGTAAAAAGCCCCAGGATGTGTTTGTGTTTCCTCTTTTTTTCCTATATTTTGTTGACGAATCTCATTTGCTTTGTTGATCTGATCTCGAATCGTTAGTGTGGGGTTTTTATGCCACATGTGAGTCAAATTGTATATTTCTTTAGCGGTTGGTCGTTTCGTGAGATCAGTGTGCCAACATTTCTCTATCAAATCTTGATAAAATGGTGGAGTGTCGTTAGTAATTTCTGGGCGAAGCCCTTTACATATTTGTAGTGCCAGATTTATGTCATGCTTAAATTGATGATAAGGTTTTTTTTGTGAACTTATTTCCCACATAATGATACCGAAGGCATAAACGTCCGTTCCCTGGGAGTATGAACTACGACCACACAATATTTCCGGCGCCACATAAGGCATCACTCCCATAATATCCTTAATTTCATCAGCTTCTGATTCCAAAACAGAAAGTCCTAAGTCTCCAATTTGACAATGTCCAGAATATAATACGTTCCCCGGATGAAGGTCCCTTTTTTCAAATTAATACGTGTTAAATTAATGCAAAAGCTCATTAACTATTACTACATTGTTTACCTATGGATCATTCTTGTTTGATGGATATCTTTCATATCACGAGAAATAGCATGGATCATTTCTAATTTTTCTTCCCAGGTGATCGATTGACGTTGCAATTGTTTGCGCAAGTCCCCTTCAAAATACCTCAGAACAAGAAGATATTGGCCAGTGGTTTCATTTTTGGTGAATCCATAAAATGCAGTGTAGTTATGTGATTGATAATCCCATCGTTGCAGTCTCTTTGCCTAAAAATGCGAGAAATCAATAAGGTGTTATACGAGTTTATCGTCAATAAATGTGAATTACCTCATTAAGAAATTCCTTTGACGGTGATTCGGAATGTCCAATTGTTTTCAATGCGACATATTCATCAATTTCAAAACGAAGCCATTTGTTGTTTTGCTGATCCCATTCAAGGATTCTTCCCATGTTATTTTTAGCACGAAAAACGGTTCCATAGCCACCTTCTCCTATTTTTTCAATATCCGAAAACTTTTCCCATGGATACCATTCCAATACTAATTTATGGTAGCATGCATGAATTTGAGCGTTTTGAATGAAGTAATCAATCTCCGCATAGCCCGACGTCCATGTCGAAAAGCCTTGTCGAAAATGAGTGGCGTTGCATGATTTGCACCATTTGTATTTATCAATGCCTGTTCTTATTTCGTTACACTTTGAACATCGACCATAATCTTCAAGTCTTTCCTCTTCCGCCGTGTATTGTGGATGACCTGGCCTCACTTCAATAAAAACATTATCAATGTAATCTTGACGGGCGGCCTCTTCTTCGATGGGCTATGTAAAAATGTGTGAATAAATAATAACAATAATAAAATTCGATAGCTGTAATTTCCTACACTTATTTCTTTAACTTTATACATTTGATTTTGTCGATAACAGTACACCAACTTCAATAATACAAGTAAACTTCTGTAATAGCCCCTCGAGAGGACTCGTAAATTGTATTATGACCCTCGTAACTAGTTACGGTACCTCTAATACACTGTTTTATTGCACTTGGCCCATATGATTACATGTTAATATTGTAATTGGTTGAGCAAGTTTTACAACATATACAGCACATAGTATACTCAAATGTATCGAGCTTTTAAATGGATCTCATTGCTTTATTGATACAAAATACATGAGACTGTGACATACGTGGAATAGGACAACATACACCCCTAAACGTTTTAATCTTTTCCTGAACACAACGCTTTTTCCATGCCTTTTGATAACATAATAGAACCAACCTTTGCTTTCTTCATGCTGGAGCACGTGCCTCATGATGGATCAAGGACGATACACGAAAATTAACTTTCTAGCATTTTTATTTCCATGACTATTAGTTTGGACAAAATAAAAAAAGTGTTCATTTGAA